CAAGTAAGCCTTGGAAGATAAGGGTATTGAGAGCCATTGAGGAAATTCCCCCAGCACGTGGTTGTTTTATTGAGAAGGGCTTTAATGGTATTTGACTGACAAATAGTCCTTCTGGGGTCACTTCCTCTGGTTTGTGGACTACTTCTTTAAGTAGATGATCAAAATTGTGTGGGAAAATGGAAAGTCAGCAGGTTATATGAAACAAACAAGGATTTAATGTGAATGCCAAAGTTTAGCTTAAACACATACAGTGAGTGACAATTGAAAAAAATATTATCAAATAATACCAACCTTCGCTTATCTTAAATTCCTCTAGAGATTTGCAGAGGAAATATTTAACTGGGATATGTGGTATGTGGATGAGAGTCTATGTGGCTGCATGAGGCACCAGGAGAAATGGTAGAGCAGGAGTGCAGGGAGTGATGCACTTGCAACAAATCAACAGATTATGACCAACCACAAAATGCAAGAAAGAATATTGGTAAGAATGGAGAATTAGCAAATTCTGGTGTTGGGCCAACTGTTCTAAATCCTCAGTGTGAAGAAAGCCCGATGAAACACAGAGCTATAGCCATAGGTACAACTCAGCCTGGCCCTGAGGTTTTCTTAAGAGAGAATATGAAGGATACCAGAAATTGTGCACCATTGCCACCATTCAGGATGAACCCAGACAAAGTGATGAGGGCTTGATTGTCAGGGCAGGGCCAGGACTGGCTGCTGCCCAAGAGCCAGGATCTCAGCCTGGTAACACAGCCCCTGAGCAGGGCATGTTCACATGTGGCAGCTGTGGTCAACCAAGAGTCCAACTCATCAAACACATCTGAAGCAGGTCCAAGGTCAAGCTGGAAAAATCAATTCCTGGTCAGGGACAGGATAAGAATGAGGATCAGGATGAGATCTGGTGGTAATAATCAAGGTCGGATACAATCATTGATAACTGGACATGTCCACAGTGACAAAGCAGGACCGAGGTCAAGCCAGGAAGTCATTCTGAAGCTCTAGGTCCCAACCAGTGGGGCCAAGGACAGGCAAGGCCATGGCTGAGCTGGGCACCAGCATGACATGTGACATAACTCAGAGAGAGCCTGAAGCTGCAGGGTGGAGCTGTGCCAGGGTGTAGGAGGAGGACTGAGGTGAGGCTGGTCAGGGCCATTAAGGTCTATGAGTGCCCTCAGGGCCTTGACCTTGACATTTGGTGCCCCTTGTCCTCCTCACCATAAAGAACTCTTTCAAAACACACAGATGTTTGTACTTGTGAGTAGGAAAGATGGAGTATGCATGAAAGTGAAATTTATGAAGAATGACTGTTCCTAAAATAGGTCTTGTTTAAAGTGAAAAATTGCTGCCTTCTTCTCTGTGGTCATGTATAGGGCGTCACTACTTTTATTGTTACAGCTATACTCCCTTCATTTCTTCAAATTACAAGAAAAAACTGTGCTTGAATAATTTATTTCCATCATTTATCATTTCTCTCTCTTAATCTCTCTCAGAAAGATCTCTGGTTTTGCCACAGTTTTAGGGATAGTACTATTACGAGACAACTGAAGTTTTAAATGTCTTATTAGAAATGTCATAATTTCTAATAGAGAGTTTGTAGAGTGTGTTCCTGTATAAAAGGAAACTTTTATAAAGCCCTGACTGTTTCTCAGGCAAGCCGCTCAGGGTGAGAAGACACCAGAGAAATTAGAAGGGTGTTATAAGGGCCCTTGCAGGCTACCCAACTTCCAGCCTGGAACTCCATCCAGCATTTTACCTTGTACTGTGGGATACAGGACATGGCCCTTTTGACTTTCTGTTTTCCTTTCCTGGTATATGGACCTCTTGGCTAATGAACGAAGCAATTATTAAAAAACATCAGCACGCTTTTATGCTTTTCAGATGCTTTTCAAAGCATTCATGATAGTAGCATAAAAAGTTGTTTTAGAAACAAGATGGCAAGATATGATTTTGCTTTTTTTTTTTTTTTTCATTGAGGATTTATGTCTGTCATGACTCACAGACCACTGCTGCTGTTCTGTTATGAAAGAGATGAGCCCTGCAGGCAAAACACAGACCAGGTGAGCAAAGACAGCAAGACAGCATGTTCAAACACAACACTTTTACTGTACATTTACTCAGGAAAAGAGTAAACTTACTCCAGTGCTGTGACAGGAACTCTACACAGGAGGGTTTTTGCTTGTATGTTTTTCTATTACAGGCAGACATAAAATGCTTAAACTCACAGCTGAGCCCTGTGACAATCTGTGCTAGACAAGGACTTTGTTCTGTATGTCACAGTAATGTGCTGTAACAGTAGGAAACATGAGCCAACCCCCAAAGCACATCCTTTGGGGTGGATCAGCACCTCCTGCAAAAAGATTTTTATCAGGTAGTTTTTTATATTTGCTTAAACATGGACAAAACTATTTTTGTTTCAAGAATAAAACCTTCAGTATACTTACTTATTGATCTGCACAGCAATAAGCCTCTAGGTAAAAACATTGCATTCAAAGCTGTACCTGGGAGGGGAGATGTCCCTGGGGTATATTTAAGGGACATTTTCCCACTCCCTCCTGAAATTAGTAACTTCATGGATTTTAAAGGGAAACCAAACACTTCTATGATCATAGGTTTCCCTGATCTCAAGGAGGAGGGAAAACATCTTTCAGTGATACACTCAACATATGTATGGCAAAAGTGGAGCTAATTAAGAGACACTCCCTTTTCCCTTGGCTTTCTGGAATTCCAAACCCTCATCAGAGACAGCAATTATTTTGGGAGTCTTTCACTCTTCCCCTCATCAAGGTGTTTACTTCCGTCTTATGCCATTGCATAAATATGTTTGTAATTTTCTCTTCCTGATGTGGCACAATAATTCCACAGCCTGTTTTTGTTTTTAATTCTGCGTGTTGAGGAAGTGCTAAAACTCACTCAGCAAATTTTTTCTGACCGCTAAACAAGTGCAGAGCAATGCAAACCTTCCCATTGGGAGGGGTTAAGCATTGGTGAATGTAAAGATAGCATAATATAAATCTGCAGGTTGGTTGAATCTAGTTTGTTGAGAGATACATGCCTCTTATAGACACCAACCTTACACCATGCAGTGTAAAACACCTCTGTCTGTTTGCGGTTTTCCCTGTGACTTTCTGCCAACCCTTTGCGTAGTTCAAGGCTCTGAGCCAAGGCCATTAAGACTGACTACAGCTGTATTATGAAGGGTCAAAGCACATGTCAGAGCTTAAACCCAACACCTTAAACACTAGCTCCACTCTATGTCTTTCAACTGAGTTTTGATTTTTCCAAATTTGTCAGTTTTTCCCTGTAACGAATGACCAAATAAAGCATTAACAGCCTTGCCACAGAACTCTTCCTCTTGAGTCCAGCTCCAGGGTAATCACTGCAACTCTGGGGTCCTCAGAAAGACATGGACTTGTTGGAATGAGTCCAGAGGAGGCCATGAAAGACGATTAGAGTGACTGAGCACCTCTCCTATGAAGACAGGCTGAGAGAGCTGTTTGGCCTGGAGAAGAGAAGGCTCCAAGGAGACCTTATAATAGCTTTCCAGTATCTAAAAAGGGACTTATGACACCAAGTTGAGCGGTGTGGCTGATACATTTCAGGGGTGGGATGCCATCCAGAGAGAGCTGGACAAGTTTGAGAACTGGGCCTATGGGACTTTCATCAGGTTTAAGTGCATCAAGTACAAAGTGCTCCACATAGGTCTGGGCAACTCCAGGTACGAACACAGGCTGCGGATGAGCAGATGGAGAGCAGTCCTGCCAAGAAGGACTTGGGGGTGCTGGTGGGTGAGAGGCTGGCCATGAGCTGTCCATGAGCTCTCACAGCCCAGAAAGCCAAATGTATGGTGGGCTGCACCCACTGGAGGGCAGCAGGGCCAGGGAGTGGATTCTGCCCCTCTGCTCAGCCCCACCTGCAAGGCTGCATCAGCTCTGGGGTCCCAGCACAGGGAGGACAGGGACCTGCTGGAGCGAGTTAGTTTATTTAATTTAATTACGGAGGAGGGACACTGAGATGATCAGAGGGCTGGAGAGCCTCTCCTGTGAAGAAAGGCTGAGAGCATTGGGATTGTTCAGTCTGGAAAAGAGAAGGTTTTGGGGTGACCTAGCTGTAAGCCTTCCAGTACCTGGTGGGGGCCTACAAAAAAGCTGGAGAGGGACTTTTCACAAGAGCAGGTAGTGATAAAACAAGGGTGAATGGATTAAAAGTAAAAGAGGGCTGGTTTAAATTAGACATTTGGAAGGGATTCTTTACTGCCAGCATGGTGAGGCACGGGGACAGGTTGCCCAGAGAAGCTGTGGATGCCCAGTCTCTGGAAGTGTCCAAGGCCAGGCTGGATGGGGCTTTGAACAACCTGGTGTAGCGAGCGGTGCCCTGCCCACGGCAGAGAGGCTGCAACTGGATAATCGTCAAGGTCCTTTCCAACCAAATCCATTCTGTGGTTTCGTGATTCCCCCACACCATCACATTGGTGAGGACAAAATTTATGCCAGCATGAAGGACATACCCCTTTTCAATTAAG